GTATCGATTTTTCCGACTCAACGGATACCCGGTGAGCTTTGTAAAAAATTGTCTCAGACGCCAGCAACAACCACACAACGTCGACTCTAACGGAGACAGGGTTTCGCGGAAATTCTATGCCCTGCCCTACATGCCGAGAATTTCCGAAGCGATCGCTCGACAATTAAATCAATTCGGCGTCTCCATCGCCCACAAGCCGGCGTCTTCATTGCGCACGACAATATCCCGGGTAAAAGATCCCATACCGAAGGAGCAGCAAATAAATGTCATTTACCGCATTCCATGTGCAAACTGCTCTAGCGTTTATGTTGGGCATACCGGCCGACGACTTGGGACCCACATTAACGAACATAAGTTGGCCATCCGCCGACGGGACCCCCTGTCTCTCGTGTTTGCGCACGCCCTTGAATGTGATCACTGCTTCAACTGGGAGGGGACCGAGGTGATCGCTAGTGCCAACACCAAACAAGCGCGAGAGTTTCTAGAAGCTTGGCACTCTAATAACAATAGCATCAACCGCCATGTCGACTTGGACGCTCACTACGAAGGCTCACGTTCACGGTTTGCCGGCTTGCGCCCACCCTAAGACACCAACTGCTAACCCATGTTCGGCCATGTAGAATTTCACGGATTCAGCACCTTCCTCACAGAGTGAACCATGTGTAAAACCCTCAACACCTCCCCTAACGTCCGCCACCTATCCAAACACGTTCTTCACCCCCACACATAAACGTCTGTCCTGTCGATGTAACCTCGATGTCCCCCTAGCTCCCCAGTGCGATTATCTCCCGCACACTTTTCATTTCGTCTGACGACGGGTTGGTGTAACCGACTGGAAAATTCACGAGCATACCTTGATTTTCCGACAAGCCTTCTCCTTCTAACACACACACACACACATATATATAAATTTTCAATCAGGGATGGACGCACGCCGATCTATTGGCTTCACGAGGCAAACAAGCCCCGTATGGGTGGCAAAGGTCACGAACAGGCAACCAATTACCAGGCCGAAGTCGGCCAAGTCATAATAGCAGCGAGGAGGCACGACAGAGAATGCGGGTAGATTGATACAGTACTGTTTCGGGCTTATTGTGCCTTCATTTAGCCAATCATAACCCTGACCACCAGCACTTGGGACCAGAAACACAAACATGCGCACAGACGCACCTGGCGCAGTTGATCCACCACTGGGGTCTACCAGATAGGTCATAAGCACTTCATCGAACCGAAGTTCATCAGTGCCTCACCACCTGTCATTCTCTGTCGCTGCAGATCGGGCATTTAATCAGTCAGGCTTTCTCTCGAGCCCAACCGGCAGCCGCAGAGCGGCACATGATATAGGCAGAACGTTGTTATCGAGTAAGTCCGTAAGACACAACGGAACGAGTGAATTCCGTAAGAGCGATCGGTGAACGCCCCTCCACCATTGTATATTCCCGATCGAAGCCGGCAGGACAACGAGCTCGTCGTCCAGTGGTTAGAGGCGTTGAACTTCTAACTAACAGGCCGCGAGTTCGAGCCTCAGGTGTTCCACACCTCGGGATTGGGAATGGCTGGCTGGCGACGGCTAATAAGCCAGAAGTGACCATTCCAGTCCCCCTTGTCTTTGTCCGTAATAACCTTCTTCCTATCTCATGCGCCGCTGTGCGGCTGCCAGTTGGGCTCGAGAGAAAGCTCGCAAGGCACAACGGGACGAGTGAGTTCCGTAAGAACGATCGGAAAGCGCCTCTCCGCCATTATATATATTTTTTTTGAAATCAAATACGTTCTTTGGGAAAGAGAGAAAACTATACTGAGTAAATTTTCGACGTCGGTTCCCCGTGTCGTCGTCAGACTAGAGTAAATGTGCAGAAAACAATTAACATTTCAAACGTGTTACAAAATCAATACTCATTTGGTGCCTAAGCTAGTAAGCTGCCGTCGTATGTTTCATTCCGTATTGATCGGCTATCGTCTCCTCCACTTTTCTCTGAGATTTTTGTACGTGACATCTAACTCGATATGCCTGTTGATGCATGACTCATCGGAGTGCATGGCTTCAAGAAACTCTCGGCCTTTTTTAGATGGGCAAACTCCGACGATACGAGTTTTGTCCCATGCCAAAGTGTGCCCAGTATCAAGAGTGTGCATGGCCATTTGAGACAAGTGGTCTCGCCTCTTAACTGCAAGTTGATGTTCGTGGATGCGTGTAGAGGCAAATTTTCCCATTTGGCCACAATATACGGCATCACAGGCATCGCATGAGATCTTATAGACGACTTCTTTTCTATCGAGATAGCCAACCCTATCCTTAGGGTGTACAAGCTGGGTGCGTAAAGTAGTCGTCGGCTTGTGCGCCACTTTTATCTGGTGTTTCCTCAAGTGTCTTTCAACAAGTTCGGACACATTTCTGATGTAAGGAAGGATTCGCCAAGTGTTTGCTTAGGGCGCTTGACTGGAACTATCTAGTTCCTTTGTTTTTATCTCGTGTTGTCTAATGCATCGACGTACGAAATCTCTAGGTTATCCGTTCTGGGAAAATAATTCAAATAGGTAGTTTAGTTCAACTTTGTAGCTTTCTTCATCAGAGCAATGTGTTCTTGCTCGATGTATCAGACTTTTGACAGTACTCCGCTTGTGAGAGATCGGACTGTTGCTCTCATAGGGTAGAATTATTTCCGCATATGTTTCTTTGCGGTAAACGGAGGTGTGTAATGTTCCGTCAGTCTTACGCTGTACGAGAACATCTAGAAATGGGAGTTTACTGTCAAGTTCTTTTTCCAACGTGAATTTAATTCCCGGAACGGTTGAATTGATTGTGTTATGGAGCATTTCTAGTTGATCCGTTTTAATGACGACAAACGTGTCGTCCACATATCGTACCCATAACTTAGGGTTAATTAATGGAAGAGCCACCGATTCCAATTTCTGCATTGTCACCTCGGCAAGAAAGCCCGATATGGGTGATCCCATTGGAGTACCTTTTAGTTGTTGATAATATTGGTGATCGAACGAAAAATTGGTTTCTAAACAAAGGTCCATAAGTTCAAGTAAGGCAGCTGCAGGAACATCCGTGTCATAGGACTTTAGGAGTTCATCTATGCATTGCATTGCGAAATCTAGTGGTATGGAAGTGAATAAAGAAACCACATCAAAGGAGACCATTATCTCATCCGCGGAAATTGTGATGTCTCTCAATTTCTCCAGAAACTCCATGGAGTTCTGAATGGAGGTGGCACAATCTCTCGTAAGTGGATGAAGTTGGTGGAATAGCCACTTAGAAGTTTTGTAATTGGGTGCACCGATTAATGATACTATCGGTCGCAGTAGTACCTCAGGTTTGTGAAGTTTGGGCAATCCGTAGATCTTGGCGATTGTTGGTTCGGATGGTCTCAGAGATTTTGCAATGTCACCTGACAGTTTTTTCGTTCCCGTGAGGCGCTTCAGCACTTTATCAATCGATGAATTCTGTCCTTTCGTAGGGTCCGTGGAAAGAGGCTTATACGTTGAACTATCTTCTAAAAGTGACAGCCCAACGTTCACAAACCTGAGGTACTACTGCGACCGATAGTATCATTAATCGGTGCGCCCAATTACAAAATTTCTAAGTGGCTATTCCACCAACTCCATCCACTTACGAGAGATTGTGCCACCTCCATTCAGAACTCCATGGAGTTTCTGGAGAAATTGAGAGACATCACAATTTCCGCGGATGAGATAATGGTCTCCTTTGATGTGGTTTCTTTATTCACTTCCATACCACTAGATTTCGCAAGGCAATGCATAGATGAACTCCTAAAGTCCTATGACACGGATGTTCCTGCAGCTGCCTTACTTGAACTTATGGACCTTTGTTTAGAAACCAATTTTTCGTTCGATCACCAATATTATCAACAACTAAAAGGTACTCCAATGGGATCACCCATATCGGGCTTTCTTGCCGAGGTGACAATGCAGAAATTGGAATCGGTGGCTCTTCCATTAGTTAACCCTAAGTTATGGGTATGATATGTGGACGACACGTTTGTCGTCGTTAAAACGGATCAACTAGAAATGCTCCATAACACAATCAATTCAACCGTTCCAAGTCCAACGCCCCTAAACACTGAACCACGGGCTCGTTTTCCTATCGGTTGCGCTCGGCTATATATTAAGGTAGCAAGGAGGCACTCACCGATCTTGTTACGGAGGGTGCTTGTCTCGTTGCGCCTTGTGGCACTAATTGGAAACCTCACAGATAATACGGACAAAGGCAAGGGAAATCGGAATAACCTATTCTGACTTATAAGACATCAGTCAGTCACACCTGACCCACGGCTTTGATCAACCGAGGTTAGAACCCGGGGTCCTTGCTCGTTCACTGCGACACTGCAATTGAGCCAGGGGCTCGTTGTCCTGTCTAACACTTCACCAGAAAGCATCCGTATTTTGGCCTTTGTGCAAGCCAAAGCAATCATAAGGATTGTTTTCGATCATGTTTTCGTCGTTTTTTTTAGATCCATGTCTTTGCGTTCGCCCGGTTTTGTTATGTGAAGTTATCGTTCTTCATTCGCATCCTGCAGTTGTGAATGTGATGTGCCAACCATAGCAGACCTTTACAGCTTCTTCTTCCTCTTCCTCCTCTTCTTTTTCTTCCTCTTCTTCTTCTTCTTCTTCTTCTTCTTCTTCCTCTTCTTCTTCTTCCTCTTCTTCCTCTTCTTCCTCTTTTTCCTCCTCCTCCTCTTCTTCTTCTTCTTCTTCTTCTTCTTCTTCTTCTTCTTTAATTACCTTTACGAATTAACGCTTGTGTGTGTGAGGGGTTGGAGATGTTAGCGAGTCAGCGTTTCCAACGTGTTTCCGCTGTCCAAGTCATTTGATACTCCCTATTAATGTATCCATACCTAATGTCATCCTGACTTGAAAACTTCCTGCATTCATAGTCTGCTTTGTCTCGTCCTTCAGATGAACGCGGACACAAAGTGCAGTTCTGTCACAAACTGCCTCTGGAGGAAAGGCAACGCCTTCAGGAGCAAACACAAATGCGTTTCCAGTCCCCTATGCCACTGGGCAGTCTCCAGGGCCAACCCATGACAATGGGAACTCCCGGTTCGACGGGCCATCCACCCTTCTTTTCTCCTGCTGGCCTGGGTGCCAACACTCTTAACCGTCCCCTCATGAATCCGGCTGGTCTCAATCCACATCCATTTGATCGGGTGAAACAACTCGGAGCTGTTGGCCTTCCTCGGCAGATGCCCCAGAAACCACTGGACGAAGTCACCTGTTTCAAGTGCGGTGATAAGGGTCATTACGCGAACCGCTGCAATAAGGGCTACTTGGCTTTCCTCAGTAAGGGTTCGAATCAAGTGGGCGTCGGCGCCCCTGTATCATAGGACCTTCGAACTCTTGTACATATTGTTTTAAAGACTGCTATTTTGCGACCACGCACTCTAGTTGCATTCAAAGTACTTTTTGAATTACTCCCCCCGGAAGATAAGGCTAATATTGTCGCCAGAGGTACGAGGACTCATTGCGCGTCAGTTATCCGTTCTCCTGATCTTACACATCGTGGGAGTTTAGGCGAGGCGTACGAATTGGATTCCCTAGCCCCTGTAGGTATCTGTAGGGACGCCCTGACAAAAAACTCTTTCCGATCTCATGAAATGTTGGCCGAAATTCTGAAATGCGTTTTTGCCTAGGAAGGATTACTTAAGTAGGGTTGTAGTAGTGAGTACCTTATGGCATAAACCCGTGCTACTTCCGGCACACGTTCTTTCGGCCACCCTCCGAAATCGCGCTCCGTAAAAAGTGACTACTTGAGTAGCGTGCACTTCCTCTCTCGGTTTTCGATGCCCCTATAAATCCATAAGTATTTTACAGAAAGCATTCACAAAAGTATCCTTGTATTCATTCGGTAACAAGCAACGTTTCTCTCAATTTTTTACACAAAGAAAGGGTATCTTTCGGTTTTAGAAAAAGTTTCTTTTTGCGATGTTTTTTAAGGTTGTGCAACGTTCATTCAACTAGCATCGTATCTGTCTGTTTAATAATACTCCTAATTAAGTGTGTAACGTAGTCCACATTCGCTGCAAAATTCTATGAGTCACATATGGTAGTTTCTAAGGGGCATGAAGGAACGTATGGTTTTCCTTACACGGAAAGTATACAGCTTGAAGACTGAAGCGAGAATGTAAAGGTATGTCGATTCGGAAATTAGTCAGTAATGAAAAAACTTTTCGAAACCGAATACACCTTTTATTCAAGTATAGAATTTGAAGAAAAAACAATTTTCTACCAAACGAGTGCGAGAAATAGTATTTTCACGAAGCTTTTCTACAAAATATATTTGAATTTTCCAGGGAACATGAAATCAATAAAGGAAGTGCATACTGCTTAAGTGGTCATTTTCTATAGACTGCTTCTTTGAAGATGGCCGAAAAGGTGTGCATTCAGAAGTCAACATCCTGCTGTGCTTGAAATATTATGGGAATGCGTCGCCAGATTATCGATCTTACACCCCCACCTAATCAATCCTTCGTAATTGAAAATTAATTTCAGCATTTCGGTTAACATTTCATGAGGTCGGTCACTGATTGTACCCTATCTACTTTCTGTATTTAAGTAGCTGGGTACCAAACATTTAATATACTTGTACTTAACACTTAAGCCAAACCCATATGGAAGATCTGAATCCCGACGGCGAAAGCACAGCAAGTGCCTTTAATCGCTATCCAACAGGCCGGGCGTACGTAGCTCAGGTTCCATCTGTCATACTAACGACAACGGCCTGCTTCGAGGTGCAGCACTGAACTTTCTTGTCTCCGAAGCTTACCCAAAATCCATCTGCTGACACTAGTTTTTCAGATGTATGGGAGGTGTTAGAACCTCCCATACGTCCGAGCTACGCCAAGAGCTGCTGATTTCTTATGGGGACCTATGGGCTAACGAGCATTTCGAAGACGACTATTACGGTCGTTCGTTTGTTGGTATATGTTCACAAAACCTTCCAGAGAATTAAATGTTGAACGACGATAGAAGTTTAAGAAATCCTAGTATACTGGGTATAAACGGGCAATGTCCTGCAGTCAGAATAATCAACAATGGACAGTATTTGCATTTAAATTAAAGGGGCTTGTCGGCTGTCCTTAGAGGTTCGGGCTACTGTGGAATTTCGATATGATTAAGCTGAGCAATAAAGTTTGCAAAAGTGTTGCCTTTACGACGTTTTTCGCTTTCAGAATACACCATAGACGATATTGCGTCTTTGTGCAGGTGTGCTCCTTCCTTTTGGCAGTCAAATTCCTTCGATACTCCAAATTCCCTTCAATCGGATTCGTGTGTTTACCGGCGACAAGATCATCAGAGTTCGCGCCGTTAACAAAATCGTGCGCGCAGCTATGGGTTTGGTACGAAGAGAGTACGTTCTAGGCAGAACGATATTGCCGACAAAGACAAGGGGGACTGGAATGGCCATTTCTGGCTTATTAGCAGTCGTCAGCCAGTCATGCCCGACCCCAAAGTGTGGAACACCTGGGGCTCGACCCCGCAACCTGTTGGTTAGAAGTCCAACCCCTCTAACCACCGAGCCTCGGACTCGTCTTGTCGGATGCGATCGGGAATATACACCTCGGGGTTGGGTATGATTGGCTGACGACGGCTAGTAAGCCAGCAATGGCCATTAAAGTCTCCCTTGTCTTTGTCGGCAATGCCATTTTGCCTATATCATGCGCCGCTGTGCGGCTGCTGGTTGGGCGAGAGAAGAGAAAAATCGATCAGCATGAGGCCGATCAACACAACATGCCACTTGAAATTTCTAATCGATTTAGTGCATTTGACGATTTGACAGTGGAGAGCCGACCAAACTCTTTGAAGCGTCAGCATTTAAATAAGCCTGTTCCGGAGAGCCCTTCTTCACTTTCTTCTTCTTCTCCTTCTCCCTCTTTCTTCTTCTTCTTCTTCTTCTTCTTCTTCTTCTTCTTCATCATCATCTTCTCCCTCTTTCTTCTTCTTCTTCTTCTTCTTCTTCTTCTTCTTCTTCTTCTTCTTCTTCTTCTTCTCCTTCTTCTTCTCCTCCCTCTTTCTTCTTCTTCTTCTTCTTCTTCTTCTTCTTCTTCTTCTTCTTCTTCTCCCTCTTTCTTCTTCATCTTCTTCTTCAAAATAATCAACCCGGATCAATGAACTTTGCCAATCTGAACTTCTTGAATGTCGTTCCACAACAGTCGTAGCCGACATTCTTGTAGCATTAGTGCACTGTCCCACGGCCGTGTTCGCGAATGCGCATCTATAACAAGTGTCAGCATCCCTAATCTTATTGTGATATAAAATCCTTGTCAGTGTTCATTGCGGACCAGAGAGTGATTTGCCCAAGTGTGGTTTACGCCGTGCCAGTCATCCCCCCCCCCGCCCGGTCTTGGCTCTGGGCTCAGGTGGGAGGAGAGGAGGGTGCGATATATGCTGCGCAAGTCTGCTGTCACCTTAAACTAATTCCTTCGTAATTCGCCGTCCCTGCTCTCACCTGGCTGCGGAGCATACGGTGAACATCATCTGGAACGGTGTTTGAACTGTCGTTTAGTGCTTAAGTTTAGGGGTTAGGGCTAGTCCTTAGATTTGGGGGTGGGATTAGGATCATAGTTAGGGCTGACACAACGCGGAGTGAAGAGGACTCCTTATGAAGAAATTCAGGCGTCATCTGAAACACACAAACTTGAGTAGTTAGAACTTTTATGAAGAAAATCCCCGTTTAAGGGACGAGAAGGGGCGTGAACAAAGGTCAACCGTCCTGCCGTTGCTCGAAACAGGGAGCAGTGCAGTCGCTCATCCTATGTGTGCCAGATGCGGCTATTCTTCGCCGACTTAGAGCCAAGACTGGAGCGTCCGCCGCGGACGTGTCATGGAAGAGAGTGGACGGTAAGGGCTTTGCGCGGTCGTGGTTAGAACGCTTACGCTTTTTGCTTCTAACACTGAAAACTCGGGCAAAGACTTCATTTCATGCGTGAAAGTATTCCAAGGAAGATTATACTTGGAAGCAAATAAATGGGACCCGCAGGCGTACAGTGAAGGGCTTATGGTATCATCTGGGGAGGGGGGGGGACGCTTTAGATTTTACTCCGGTCAGAGGCATTTCTTCGACTAAAGGCAGAACAACAGCACAGGTGAAGGAAAAGAACAAACAAGTGCCAAATACCTATCTTTATCATCGACATGAAGACTTTGTGCAGGAACGTGCTATGATTACGATAATAAATCCAGTCTGCCGAAATGTAACTTCCGTCCTTCCCGACTGAGCATTGAAAAATACGAGCCGCGGAAGGGGGGACGGCTCAACGGACCCAAAAACACATGGATCAACACTTGGGTGGGGGGAATTCTACCTGCCTAATCAAACCGCAACTAGGCAGAAAAGGCAGACATTAATTAATTTTTCAATAAAGACATCTGTACATAAAACGGACAGAATAACTTGGCTTTTGCAAATTTTCTATCCCCCATAGTGTCAAAGCGAATAGGATATTCAAACCAGTGGGTTTAATGTTTGGACTACCTACTAAGTTCACTTAAGTAGGCAAGTTACCTGAGACTTGCGAATTTTAATCGCCGAGGAAATGTTAGTGTAAAGGAAGGGAGATAAACGGACCAAAAAACCGCACGTCGATGTGCGACACGTGTGATCGGCTGGGGCATAGGGTGGCAAGTATAAATCATAACTTCCCGACAGTGGTCAAACAAGTAGGAGGTCGAGTAGAGCCACGCACGTCTACTCATACTATAAGACGTCAGTGCGGCCCCTTCTCGAAAACTACTGAAATTTTAGTAACAACCTAACACTGACTGTTGTGCTTCGTGAAGTGAAGTGGTGTGGTTAAGAAACGCTAGGTGACAGGTTCTGGAATATATTTCAGGTAGATATCCTGCTAAGTAAAGTTCAGAAGCTGAGCGGTCAGACAGAAATGGGGCATTTCATTGGAAATCGTATTTTCGAGAAATGTTCCTGGAAACGAAAACTTATATACGCGCCGACAGCACTACTCTTGGTATAACATCCCGACTTGAGTTTTGGGAGAATAGGAGATGTTGTTCATGAGGAATGGGATTCTCCCAGACGGCCCACTCGCTTCTACTGTAGTTTGCAGAACATATGACTAACTGTGATGAATCTATCCGAACGCGGAAGAATGGGAGTTGGTTACCACTCGGAAATAAGTGATTTCTTTCAAAGAAGAAACTGAGCAGCTAGCCTATCCGCATTATCGACGAGGGAAATTGGATTGCGACTTAGCAAAAGGAAGAAGTTCATGATGACGCCCGGAAAAGGACCCACAGGAGAAGATTTGTGCAACAGAATTCGCACTGCCTTACGGGCACATGACACATCTTTAATGCTAGCCCAAGAACTGCGTGATTCTAAGAGAGATGGGTGAAGGATTGGTGGGCAAATGCTACAGTTGGTTTCTCCTCACTTAAATGACCAGTGGAATCATAAAATGTGGATTCAGGATGTCTGTATGATACAAATTCTATAATGCCTTCTGTAAAACCGACGTTAAGTCACTAAGAATTGCCGCCTGTATGCTGTGGAGAATACCTTTCCAATGTAGTGATCTGAAGAAGTTATTGATTCAGTCACTGTCCATGCGTCCGAGGTTCACACAGACTGGAATTCAGTTGGTTTTTGAAAACGCAAAAATGAATTCACCTACTGTCGCATTCGAAGAGGTCTCGTCGGAAACAAACCCAAAAGGGAGCGGTATCAATAGTGTCAGATCTGAATTATGGCTTTTCCTAATGATGGCTGAAGTCCACGGGACCTATTGCAAAAATACTACTCGCCCGAGGGGTTCGGTACCCAAGAGGACAGAAGTCTAAAGGCCACTCTATTGGGGGAAGGTTAAAAATGTCAGGACGCACTTCAACGTAAAAAGCCATAAGGAATATCCACATTCCCTAAAATAGAAGCCCAACCTCAATGAAAAGCAGCTGCCTGTGTCTTTTCCGCGTGCTGCCTGCATATCCTCCACGTCATCGCGCCATTGGCTGTAGTCACACTTCTTTCTAGAGACCCGATAGTTTCGTGTTTACAAAAAGCTAGTCGGCTGTTCTAGTATTTTCTGTCTAAAGCGAATCGAACCGAATGCTTGTTAAGCTGAACGGAATTCCATAAAAACGCGCAGTTCATCAGTGAGAATGACTTCCATGTATCAATATATTTTCTTGTGGCCGAGCTTGTTTTGTTTCTCTGCCGTGTTGGTGATTGGGGAGAATATTGAAGCACGCGCACGGTTCATTTTATGACCGGGTGCTAGGACGGGTCATGATAAAGCAGAGGCCGACCCGTTTAAGGGTTTCGCAGCACTGTGCACAATTGCTGGGTGATGAAGTAGTTTGGTTATAGCTGCAACCAGAAACAACTTTTCGTTATTGTGAAAGGATAACAGATGCAAAGCAGAGATTTCTAGGGAATGAAGAGACACTTAGACCGTATGAAAGTTGATTCAAGTAAAATGTGACCTGAACACGAACAGCGTAATACCTACTTAAACGACCTTGGCAGCAGAAATCCAAGTTATCCACAGAAACGGACAAGTCGGGACTTAGAGCATGAATCCGAGATTCTTTTGCTCATAGAGCGTTGACGGTCATCTCCAAAGCAAGGATTCTGCGTTGCGCCATCTTATTAGAAACAGACATAACATGCAGACAAGATCATTCTGGATAAGGCTGATTAATAACTGCAATTTTCTGTTTGAATGATGCACCTGATTAAGGGGATGCTAGTAAGAAGCAAGCATTTTATAGTAATCACAGAAAGAAAGGAGCCTGCGATGACGATGTAACAAGTAGAAGTGTAAAGGAAGCTACAGGAATTAATTATGACGAAGTTTGGAATGGGGCAGGGGTTAAAGGAATTAAATAGAAGCACTTAAGAACAACTAAGAGGTTGCCTTAAAGGTGTTTTTGTTTTACCAGATATGCCAAGAAAAGAATTATTTAAATTTACTGGGAACCTGAATATATTTGGTCCAGAGTAGCCTCCAAACAGCACCGGAATATTCATGCTTACAGCACTGCTGTCACAAAGCTTCAGCTGTGGTCATTTAACCCAAAACCGCCCTCCTTCTGCCACCCCAATTTCACATCCTTCTTTTCGATAACTTCAATTGTTCATGCTGTCGATAATATAAGCATTAACTCTGTAACTTCGTCAACAGGAGCTGAGTCCTTTTAGTCCCATCGAGTTAGAACTTGTGGGCAAAATACTCCAGACCATACCTCAGCAGCACATCTCACCTCATTAGCCGCACAACACGCATAAACCCGCCTCAAACCACCCGATGCACGAAGCAAATATGAATAGCTCATGTCAGTGAGAAGAATGCTGTTTGATGCAAGCCAGTGCCCGACTAGGTTTCGTTTGAACCATGTAGACGGGCCACTGGTGCTTTGCCCAATCTCAGCGCTAGGTGCTGACCGGTTTCGTAAGTGAAATCGTTCATGTGAGAGAGGGAGAGATAGTGGGGTCGCATTCCTCACTGACGCACTAACAAAATATCCGGAAACCCTAAGAATGACGGCCTGAAAATCTGCCAGATTACTGAGCAATTCGTTTCTCGTTGTTGTCACTGGGTGTACAAATGGGGTGACTCGCTCGAGGTCTGGGAGTACACCAATGGTCCAATTGTCCCGTCCTAATGTGGCCTCTATGAGATATTAAAACGTGAGATCATGGCCAGCCCCATTGTGTGAAACGTTGGTACAGTGTGCGAAGACTAGGTCACATGTTGCATGCCTATACGGACTGTTTCGCCTTTTAAGTCACTGAGTTCGACGTCACCCACTGTCGCCTTGAAATTGCCATGACATCAAGTTAGCGGGTAAGAGGAAAGACCGGTAGATAATGCTCAAGTCTGCTTAACTACGAACTGTTTCATGTGCAAATGGGCGCTGCTACGCCTATAGAAGCTTAATGGTTGTCAGCTGGCATCTCTGAGTATAAGAAATACGGGATGCAACTTGGGAGAAGAGTTTCGAGCAAAAACTCTCCGAACATTCTCGACTCTATTACAGTCACAGGCGTTCATAATACCAAAGAAAGGACAGCAGTGCTCGAGGACAGGAAGAACAAACGTTTGACAGAGTCTTAGCTTCAGTTCCGGAATGAGAACTATGTGATATGAACCCATATATCTATACAGCTTTGGCAGAGATTCTATCTGTAGGAAGTGATTAAGCGAGTTTATTTGTCTAAATTGAACGTAGGTCCCTTACGGTAAAGCATTCTGAGAGTGAATGATTTTGAAAAATTATGGGAACAGGAAGTTTGGCGGGACCAAATGGCATGAAACTATACTTGGATGATGAAAACTCCATCTGCCATTTTGAACTCCATCTGCTTAAGCGCAGCAAATCGGCATTTATTTTCTTAACACAAACACTTACGATGTCCTTAGAATATGAATAAACACACTTGAGGTAATCGGCATAAATAAAATTTTGTAGTTTCTGATTTCAGTCGAAATATCGCTCATGTAACGAAAGAAGAGTAGCGGACACAGAACCGTGCCTCGTAGTTCGCCAATCATGATCGAGTGATGTTTTGAGCAGCTATTACCAACTATGACTTTCTGATATCGGTTGGGTAGATAGGATCTGATAAAGTCGAGTAGAGGAGGCCGGATGCGAGAGCTTCCAATTTTACTAAAAGACGTCTGTGGGGCACCTTGTCAAGGGCTTTTCAAAGATCAAAGTATATAACTATTACAAACTGCTTTTCATTACAGTGAGAAATGATTACATTAGGAAATGCCAAGTGGCAATATTAGCAGTATTGTTCAGGTAAAAATCCAAGCTGATTAGCGCTCAGAAGTTAATTAGCTAGATAGGAGTCAAAAATTCCTTTGGAAATTATCCTTTCGAGAAGTTTTGCCAGACATGATGTTTTATGCACGCCCGATAACTATTAACATCGGATCCAGATCAAAACTTGAATGTATTTGTATCTGTATGTATTTGAAGGGTTGGAGGCAGAGCCCTAGATAACCCTATTAATATACATTTTTTCGCATATTTGCATTCAAATGGTGACAGGAAACGTGCACCTGAAACGTAAACCGAGAATAAATGACTAAGCAGTATGGAAAGGTCGGATGCCTGTTAGATAATCGAATTTGAAATCCCGTTCGTTTCCGTGCAGTGTTATTTTTTTCAAAAAACTAATGTGTTGTTTAATAAGATCTGAGGAGACATCGATTTCACTCACTGTTCTATCTGAAAGCAAACGAAAGAAAGGGACTGGCTCACACTCAATAGAAAGGTTTTTTTTGCAAAGAAAGCACTAAATAACTCAGCATTGTCAGTGTCACCGATGAGGTAGATTTTTTTACTGTCTAACAGTGGTGGATTTTCGTGACAGCGATCAGAGGAGAACAGATAACGGAAGATTTTAGCGACGGATTTGGCAGGGCTCGGATCACTGCAAGCAAATGATTCATTTTGCCTATCGCGCGCTAGGCGCATCATTCAAGCCATTTCGAAAATCTCGGTAATTCTACGATGGACGGGTAAAGAACTAGTGGATAGGTCACGAAGCTGTCATGCCAACTTTCTAAGTCTGTTAAAAAGAAAGTGAAAAATAAGGGATTCCGAAGAATTGGTTATGAGATATCTATAAGGCGCGAACTAGGATGTCCTTGGAAACATTGTCCTCAAAGACGGCTTCTTCATGCAGGTTTATGACGAACAAATCTAGCCCTTCCTTTGATTTTTCAAAGCAGCCTTTTCTGGATGCAAATTAACTTTTCTTTCTGGAAGATTTAACGGAAGTTCCAGGTACAGGGTCGTTACCTAATGCATTCTCGGCACCAGTGAACCTAACATAAGGTTGCTTGGCCTTCTCTCGGATGTTTTTCTCCCAGTATTCTTCAATCCAAGTATCTAAAGTAGATTCCATCTGGACAACAGTCTTATTACGTCTACTTACTGCTCGTTTCGCGTTCGAGTTACTGGACGTCACGTCCGTAGATCGTATATTATTTTCATCCTTCTTAATATAACTAATCTTGGATGTACTAGTGCCATAATTGCGTCCTACATGGGTGTAACTGTTACTTTCTCCAGCATATCAAAATGTTTGACCCTTTCGGCGATCTTTACCATCCTCCGTTGGCGCTTGGTATAATCTCGAAAGAAGGAAAGTAACCAGGTAGTTTGGGAAGTATAAAGTCTGACTTCGCCCAAGACTCCCAACGATAAACAATTGAACGAACGTCTTTAACAATGGAATACGTTGGTGCCGAGTGGGCCAGACGATATGTTGGCTATCGCAAAAAGGGGCCGAATGCTGCTCTCCCCGCCGAGCAAGTTAGCGCCAAGAATACTTAACCACGTGCTCTGATTAAGTAACTTCTCATCCATCCGCCAGTAGTGTCTCGTAGATGAAATCAACTAGGGAATCCAACTAAGGAAATATGGATCAGATATAGAAAGACTTATTGTCCGCAGAAATCCACGGACCAGCGAGAGATCCCCGATGTGTATTTAGATATGCTTGAATATGAAATCCGCGATAAAGTGAGGCAGCGAAAGTCGGGGCGCCATATACCGAGAGACAACTGTGAATATAGGAGCAAATGGCATAGGACGAAGCATTTTTTCACGACAACTTGTATTAAACAAGGCGTCATAACTGGTCTGGCTGAAAAGTGTGAATAAGTTAAAGATGACTAGTATGCATGTTGGTCTGTGAGGTGCTCTTCTGTGGGACAAAATAAAACGTAGTCATTTATGTCCGGATCAAACGCTTTTTCTTTGCAGAACGGTTGTTACCCATGGTAGAATAAAAGTGCCGTATGCTGAAGAAAGGCACCCACCGTTAGTAGCGTTTTACGATGACTCATCTTAGGTATTGCCGTTAAGATTATATGGGTAACGTCCCGCTTCAAAAATAAACGAACTTAAGGTGCTAGTATATGAGGTCAGAACTTCGTCACTTGAACGAGTGCACTCTATGCTTTGAATATGAATCCGTCTTCATAAGGATAAAAAGGAATAATTTACAAATCCTAGATTTCGTGATGGTTTATAGACCACCAAAACTTTCGAGTATAGTTGATGAGTCGTTTCTCCATTTTGGTCAAAAAGTGGCTTGCTATCAAGTTCTTTTTTTCTGCGAATTTCAACTCACCGGCACCTGCACCGTTTCATTTGCGGTCCTATGCCTGCCTGTAGTACGATCTACAGAATACCTACTGTGGTTGACGGAGTAATGCTCACATACCTCAGATGTGAGAATGCCTTCCATTCGTGCGTTATACTCACACTTCATTTTGCCACAAACTTCGTTATTATCGGCCTAAGGGCTTGCCAGGTTCAGTTGCTGACTTGCTCGATCATTATTTTCTTTTGCTTTGTGTCATAATTTCAGAGCTGCCAGGAGTATTTTTTGCTTACCAACGTTATATTTTCGGCAGCTCGCCAGAGTCTCGCCAATTTGTGCTTCTACACCAGGGCCGCCAAACTGTGCGGTTTAGCTAAAGGGGGTTCTAGAACATATACTTGGCATATGCCTCACCGTTACACTGCGGTTACGTGGCAGACTCCAATTTCCACTTGGCATCATTTCCCACTGACTCTTTGTATGAATGACGAGCGGGTTTTTAAAATTTTAAATGCTAGATGGTCTCTTTCAAGCACTTAACCGGTTCGCAGTGCCCCCTAATTGCAGCGACGATTACGTCTAAAGAAGAAACCGTCTGTGTGCTGCCCGAGGATACACTACGGCATTTTTCGCAGTCATTTACACTTTAAACTTATCGGTAGCAGTCCTTTCTTTTGGCAAAATTGCACCAGATTACGGTAGTACAGTACTTCCGTCATCACACCGCTTACCGTCAGCATATCCCTTTGCGATCGCTTACGTTCCACACATCCTTGAGCCAGATGCCTGGGTCTAGAAAAAAAGAAATAATTTACATTTGTCGATATTTTTGCCATTCAGACAACAAACTGTTTACATATACATCTAATTGGACAAAATGCCTTACCATGCTTCGAAGTTTAACTTGTGCACTCACCTTCCAACTGAAATCTTCGTTACTTACCATGAATAATTTGCAAATGAATGTAACCTTTCTCTCCATGCCACCTTATATTACCAGACATTTCTTCCGATTCTTTCCTACGACGATTATGCCTAACTTGTTTGAATTTCTTTTTGATATTTTTTGCATTTTCAACTCTTCCAGTAAGTTTACATGCTCAGCGTTGTTTGCACCGCAGATAATGCCTGCGGCACATTACCGATGGCTGCATATTGCATTGAAACCTTACCTACCGTTGGTTAATCCTTGGCGACTTGATTATTTCCCTGAAATTCACCGACTACCTATTTTTTTATTTTTCCAACGTGCGAGCCTAATTGCCATTTACATTCCCAGAACATTAGAAGGTTTTGATGCAACTTTATTATTTTCCACTTCATTTTCACCGAATGCTTTTACATGTGACCGAGGGCATCAGCCACACAAACCCTATTTCTCCTATTTTCGCAAGACTGGCTATCCTGGTTAACCGTTGCTGAGCCCGACTAAAAAACGACATATTTGTAACTTTCTTCAGTAGCGGATACGTTTATATGGTAACTCGTCCGATCTCGACGACAATCCAATAATCCATGAGTTAGTTACCAGCCAAAAAATTCAGTCTGTCAACCCTACAATTTTCTGACATCTGTTTTCTTCGTTACTGTCGCCCATTCGAAAGAAACCCAAAATATTACTTTTATTAGTAGTGTCAGTGCCCTCATCTCGAAGTCTCCTTCCGTAATTGACGGAGAATTTGAATGTCCACATCCCTCAAAAACTCTTGTGGACACAAAAGTCGGAAAAAGGAAAATATTCAGTTCGGTCAAACTAATATTTTCGCTGTCAATTAAACTTAAGAAGTCACCTATTTAATATGACCCAGTCAGTGTTTAAGTGCATGACGTGTGGTTTATGTTGCCAAGATATTAGCGTGCGATCAAAATGGTAATTCTTAGTTCTTATTTTGTGAGTAAATGACTAAAGGCTAAAGCGACAACAATCAAGGAGGCAATCGCAAAATGGGTTAGTGACGTCTTCCCGGTTTTATTAAGTAGGAGGAAAGAACTGGGCAAAAGGCATCAGAGGCGACGGAAGTGAAACTTTACGCGCAGTATCCTCCAATTGAAAAAATGGACGCAGGTCTTTCAGCACTATCAAATTGCGAGTAAGTTTATTGTCATTTAATTTTTAAGAAAGCTTTCACTTTCAACGAACTGCATTGAAAAAATATCCAACTTGAATGCGCTCAGTAAATATGACATTTGCTTTTAACTTAAATTCAGAGAAATTGAGGATTCTGTCCTTGGCAAGAAACAATATAAAGCAGTTATCTGGGATTGAAGTTCTGGGAGAAACTTTGGAGGAGCTTTGGATTTCCTATAATAATGTTGAAAAGCTAAAAGGAATTAACGCACTGAAGAAGCTGACTGTTTTGTATATGGCAAACAATAAAGTCAAGGATTGGGGAGAATTTTTAAAACTTAACGAACTCCCTCTGCTCGCAGATCTAGTCTTTGTAGGTAGGAAACTATGAGTGGTCTTATCGCAAGTTTAGGCAATCCGCTAGCCGAACACAACGCCGAGACCTTCCGGGACGAAGCGTGCAGGAAACTTCCCAAAGTCAAAAAACTCGACGGTAAGAATTCAGATAAAGTATTTATGGCGACTGCTGGATGAACCGCTTTTTGAATGCAATATTTACTTGATATAGATAGTAATTTTCGAAAAATTGTGTACGTTTGTGTCCTTTTTAATTATGCACTAGTTATTCTACGGGGATTGTTTATTCCTCTTCTACACTTGTAAGTTGTGTATTCACATTCCTTAGATAAAACGATTATTTTCACGAAAGTATACGCCGTCAAACTGACCGGTGTATGTTCAGTGCGAGTACGATATAAATTCTAACTATCAATTCCAATAAAGTGTAGTTTTGTGTGCAAGAGTTCGACCATGTGCTCCTTTGCAGAGGAGAGCAGGGATACTCACTTGCACAGGAATTAGTTGAAGGTAATAGTAAACTTGCGCCGAATCCACCGCACTCTCTTCTCCCCATCTGGACCCGGTGTCAAAAGAGTCAAGAAGACAGGAGACGGGTGAGGACACATGCGACTTGCAAGGCGCGAATCCACACCTAGACGTCCCACCACATCCAATGGTCCACGACATATACTAACCAAGATTTTATGCAACAAGAGGAAAAGGAGGCAACTTATATCCCACTGAAAAAGAGTGACAGAGAAACCATATTATGAGGAAAGCATTACAGTCTGACTCTCATTTCACCAATCGTCCCCTCTACGCAAATACAAACTGCGCTGATTGCGTAGTGTTCGTTTCGTCGCCATTTGGCAATCACCAAGCCACAGTGCTCGGCGCGCCATGGTGGGCTAAGGCTCGGATCGCACATGCAACAGAGGAGCCACATAGCAAGGGAGACAGGGAATATACTTTCCGCTTGCGTGCGAGTTGGTAATTACATAGTGCGTTGTATGATGCTGTGCGCGGTGGTGGGTGTTGTAGGTACTAGTGAGGAGAGATGTGGTGGTATGGTATAGCCGGCGTTGTTTTACCGCAGGTTTTCCTGGATGCGCGTGTGACCTAGTAGGTCTATGCGGTGGCTGGATGTGCAAGATCTGCGTGGACAATTGAGGCGGTGGCGTCTGGTGTATTTCGGTGCTCCAGGCACTGGCCCACCAATCTCTGTGAGACGGGTTCGCAAGTGACCAACCATGCCGACGCGGGGTGAACTTGTTATGAGATTGTAGACAGGAAAGGCTGGAAGATTTTGAGTCGGCTGACGTTCTGATGCTGCTAGTTTTGGGCGCGCTGGTCGACTGGACTGGGGTAGAGGGTATGAGTGATGTGTAAGGTGTGTTAGGTGCGTCGATACTGCGATGAATCCCACTGTTGTGGAAACGCATGTGACAGAATAAGCGCACGCGTCGAACGAATGTGCGTGGACTGTGAAAGCAGATGCGACGAATGTGTATGGTAACACTCGGCATTGGCGCGTTGGTCGAAGTACAATGGATCCGCAAGTGACTGGCTAAGCCGATGTGTGAGATGTGTGTGCGAGCGTAATGGATATAGTTTAGGAGAGGTGGTGCTGGAAATGGGGCTGGTAATAGTGATGGGGGTTTTTGTTGGGGCGTCGAGAGAGTTTTTTTAGTTGGTGGGAATGGGAGCTGTGGTGGTCGCCGTTGCCGCTGCCGAAGTTTTGGCAGGGATGACGGAGATGGCAGTGAAAGACGGCACGGGGACTTTGAGCGTCGGCTGTGAGGACGGTCGTCGTAGAGAACGCCATGGTGGTTGGAGCAGCTGCGGTACAATAGGCGGCGATTGGGGTTGTCGGACTGACGCATTGAGTCCGAAGATGTCCGACGAGGTCACTCAGAAAGGAAAAGTTTTGTCAACTGCAGGACTCATGAGGCGGTCATTGACACCCTGCGACAGACAGAACAGTTGTTACACGATGTCAGTTCTAATGGCAAAGGCAACGCCTCCATCAAATCGCTCTGCCTTTGGGTGGCACTCCAGAAAAAGATGTAGCCGACATCTGACTCCCGCAGTTGACTCTAATCGGAAAAGCGAGTCTCACTGAGAGCAACGATGTGTACTTTGTGGCATACCGATTTTCGTGCAAATTGCGCCATCCCTCATTCCGACCAACTGTCCCTTGGAATGTTTAAAAGATAACAGACATTTTTAGTCTGCCAAAGCGGGCAGACTTAGCCTAGCAGCCTGTTGGGCGTTGCGGAGGAATGGGAACGTGGTTTATTTTTTGTTCGACTGTTTCGACCGTGAGTTATCCATTCGAAAGCCACGGTCTGTGTGCAAGTGACGTGATCCCAGCATTTGCTTAGGGTCCCTTTTCTAGCCCCTTCTGCCGCGGAAGGGTTAGGCAGTTGAGCCATCCCGGACGTCTGCCGAACTCCACTAGGAGCCATGGCTTGATTAAATGGGAGCGCGGCTCGATCTAGTCTGGGCCGCCTACGAGGCTGCATGTCGCCCTCTCCGTAGGGATTTTTGAAATGGCGGCAGGGCGGGGGAAGAAGGGCGGTGGAAGAGTTGTGGGGAAGAGGTAGGAGGGAGAGGAGTGAGGGGGGAAAGGATGACAGGAAAGGAGTTACCGGACGTGGTTTATGAGAGTCTGCTATACCATTATTCAGCAAACCATGGCTCTTGCAGACTGGTATGCGTTGACAGTTCTCTGACCCCTGGTTCTATGCCGGCAGATGCACCTGCTCTCCTGCTGTGTTTATAGATCATGAGCATGACTGCCCAGTCATCCTCGTCTTTCTGACCCATTGTAGCGCTGTTGTTGACTAAAATGTTTGTTGTGCACCGGGGGGTGTGAGGTGGTACGCCGGAGTGCGGGTCCGGCCGTGCCTGCCACCTGCGCGCTCCCCGCCTCCGGTCTTCTTGACACCGAGTCCAGGCGGTGGAGGAGAAGAGTGTGCTGTAGACGCTTTGTAATTCTACTCTCACTATAGACTAATTTACGTTAAAGTCACCGTGCCTGTCTCACCTTGCCATGGAGCACACGGTGGACACCGTCCACACGACGACCGAACTGTCACTGCGTGCGGGGAACACAGTACCGGATACCTTTGTCTGGGTTGGCCCGCAGGTTGAGTCGGTTGCCAGGGTGTGGACGCCAAGCAGAGATTTTCCTCAGGGGGCCACAGGCGATAGGTGGGCGCCAATTAAACGGTTTTAGACGTAATCACAACATACACTAGACAAAGGATGCAACATAACTCGGTCTTCACGTAGAACCCATGACCTGACATCCCGTAGTTATGTACACAAAGTTCAACACACAGCGGTAATTTGCTGACCTGAATATCTGCATGACGCACAGACCAAAGGTTGTCTGTTAGTGAGCCGCGGCAAACGTTCATCTGTGCTTGGGGTTGAAAGTGACTGTAGATGATATCATCCAGTAAAGTCGTCAGTTTGCCTTGTCCGATCCTTGCCGAGACTGGAATTTAACAATACGGCGCAACACCTTTCATAGGTAGTCAAATCCTCTGAAAAAACGTTTCCGAATAGACAATGTTTATAAAATACATTGAATGAAAATAATATTTGTAAAAACTCTGCATTTTGTGATTTTTTGTCTATACTCAAGTGTATCGTCGAGAATATATGAAAGAATATATTATTGGCTGCACCTTGTGCGTATCGCATAGCTTGTCTCGCGTTGCCAAGGTAACTCCAGACACCCTCAGAGACTGCACAATCTACTACATAGTGATTATACCCACGTTAAATTAATAGGGCTTAATTTCGGCTCATTAAATCCCCGTTGCATCAATGCACGTTTATTACTACACATAATGCATTTAAATTGCCTGTGCGCGTCTTCGTTCCGCTGTCGACAGGCGATTGTTAATCATACCTCACAATACAACGAACGAGAGTTAATGGCGCAGAATGCTTGGCCAGCAGTTTTTTCTATTGCAATAAAACTCCCGACGGAATACCCTGACTTCCTGTAGAATTTTAGCGAGTCAGTAATGCGGCTCACTATAATATGACCTGATTTTTCAGTTGAATTTTAGAGCGACCTTTATTGGCAAACATTTGGACAATTATTTTCATTTAGCCAAATTTTCTCTGTCTATCGAAATATGTGAAAAACTTCTCTGGTCGCATTTTGTCCTTAAATGTAGGCAGTATTTGCCTATGACTTAAAGACGCTACATTTTCTTAGCTACATGCTGCTAACCGACAGTTTATTACCTTTCTACTTGATGTCCGTTGCTCCGGTTGCGCCATCACCTCTAATTCAGTATGTTATGCAACAAACAATTTTCTGGGGAGAATTTCTAGCTCAGATATTAGGGTATTTACTTTTGTCCTTTTTAGGCATTCCATTTGTGCGCGAGGAGGATGAAGAGGGCTAACGACGTTGGCGTTTCTGTTGCTGACACAAACTCGGTTGCCTGTTGCTAATTTAAGCCCTTTTTCTAACAGACGGTTACGTATATAGTCAGGAAATCATAGCAGTGTTTCAGTAAAATATTGCAGTGACTTTTGCGCTTCTAAATTTATGTTTTTCTCATGGCAAGTTGATTATGTCATGGCTCACTGTTCGTGGATTTCACAAATTATCTGCTCGGAACCTTGTGCAAAAGACCACGATATTTTCGGTTATTTAAATTAATCCAACAACTATTGCGCATTGCTGAAAATTTCGCAAAGCCATGATTGATTCGTAGTCCACTGCAGACTGTGAACCTTTGAAGACGTGTGCTTGAAATCTCAGTCTAAACTGAATTCGGCCATGAACCTTTAGTTCTTCGTAGTCGAAAATGTCTACCCTTTTTAACAGTCAGATCTTAACAGCGAATACGACTTACCGCTTCAAAGTTATTGGCTTTGGTGCATTAATTGGATAATTACACCTTCATGGCATAGGGTTTTGACAAATAACCATACACAGGTGTTATGAGAGAGTTAAAACGATCCGCTGTGACCCAACTGAAAAACTCGGCGCCTCGGTGGGATTTGAACCCACGCAGTAAGGGGAAGGATTTAGTGCAGCCAACGCTTTAACCACCTGAGCTAAAAGGCCCCTCCGGACGACGCCAGTTTAATCACATTTGGGTCAAGGTTACCCGCTTACCAGCTTACTGTATCAAAGTTGGTGGATTCCAGACGTCGCAGTAGGTTGAGTGGGCAAACTTGACACATATGTGACTAAACTCACGTCGTCCGGTGGGGCCTCGTAGCTCAGGTGGCTAGAGCGTCGGCTGTACTAAAGCCTCACTTTTCTGTCGTGGGTTCGAATCCCACCGAGGCACCGGGTTTTTCACAGTTGGGTCGAAGTGAAATAACCATACTGCGAGTTCGGGGACTACAGACGTTTGTCACACCAGTGTATGATAGAGAGTCGTTATGTACGTGATGAATGCCCACACACCGGACTACGCGGGAGTTGGGCTGGACCAACATGGAGGCCTGGCTTGGGTGTGACGCGCGTTTTTGGGCTTTGCACTCACAACAACTGCCATACATTGGAATGTGGTTGCACCCCCCGGCGCCGGCTCCCGCCACGCAGCAACTGACTGACCGCCTCGGAGGCTGGATGGGAGAGGGAAGAGAGAGTGAAGTAGACTTCGCGGACCGCGTCCGCATGGGATGCAGCGTATAAATCCGTTGACTCGGAAGGCTGCCAACTGAGTAACTAAATTCTCCTCTGAGGGCGGAAGGTCGGACCGCTTGTGGCACTCCCATCTTCTTTTTTATGCGAGAATGGGTCCATTTTACGCGATCGAGGCGAGTGTGGTAGGCGCAGACGTCAGCTACTGCACCCGACCGCGCCTTCGGTTTTCTTGCATCTGTCTTGACACCGGGCTGAGATTTATGAGGGAGGAGGGTGTGAGCTGGATGCAGCAAAAGTCTGCCATCACTATAAACTTATTCTTTCGCAAGTCACCGTTCGGACAGCCACCAAGTTACATAGTAGGCATACTTGGTAACGATGGTTGTACTGTCATTTTACTGAGATAAAAGTGCACAGATTAACTAGTTTACTCATTTTAACTCTGTCATAGTGCGTTACTAGAGTCAGCTGATGAAGTGAACCGACGCCCTTTTAAATGAGAAACAGGCTTCATGGACTCCCTTCATCCTCCCTCTTTGTCATTTACACCTGTTTGAGATTCGACAGAGTCCGTGTTTGGGGTCCGCCCCGTGTGAAATAGGGACCAGCATTTGCACGATGGACGAGGAATTACGCAGTAACTTGCCAGCCACTGAACTCGCGGCCATAACCAGTTGCCCGGATTTTTTTTTCTTCCAGAGCGTTTTGAGTGCGAAAAGTGAGAGTGTGTGGTGGAGATCTCGCGAATGCCTTTTCCATTTCTGACAAACTCATGCGCTCGTCACTATTGCACTCTCCTGGGAAAATAAGCGGTTCTTGTCGCTGTCACTGAAGTACTTTACTTGTTGGACGTGCTACTTCCTTCATAACAAGTGGATATTGCTTATTAAGGCAGGACTTAAGTGACTGCGATTTACTTAGAACTGATTGCGTAGTTTCGCATAATAGGCAGTAAGAACAGAACTATAAAATATCGTAAAGACTCTTTGGTAAAGCAGAAGAATGTAAATTAGCTGACCCACGATAAAATTTCTTGGGAATAGTCGCGCTTGCCTTAAGTTGACTTCGTAGTCTTAATCTTCTATACACTATTCGCAACACAACTCATTTACGAGAGTTTTCGTGTTTGACAAGCTTCGAAAAACTTGGTTTTATTGTCAGTACCGTTACTCTACATCTAATGCTTTTCGCTAAACAGGAATTTACAAAAATAAATCCCGAAATTTCTAAAAATGGAAAGTATTGAACTTTTTATTAGAGCAGACAACCTACTTTTGCGTACTTGTTCTGCAAAATAGTTTGTGATGGGTTTTTGCAACATTTTATAGATAACAGTTAATAAAGAGACATTAACGGCAACGGTAGTGTGTAGAACACCAACTAACTTAAGGTAGCGTGTTAACCGTGTCATACGGGAATTATGGAGTAGGAGGCTTTAAGAGTGAGGCAAAACTCAGGACAGAGGGCTGGCGAAATGCAGAAAAATACAGAAAGTAATTGAAGTTCTGTCGAAAGACTTATCTTAGGTTGTCACATGGCTACGAAAGCGGGTGCGATATTTTAAAAAAATAATGAGAAACCGATATTTGAAAATAAACGGAATTTGAATTAGACGCCAGTGGTAGGTTTGAATTCAGCAAGGAATTCAAGAAAAGGTAGCAGTAGGTTTTGGAACCTCATGCAGCTGTCGTAAACAAACGGTCCACACGGGCCACCGCTGGCTAATTGGGGTCTTACACTCTACGTTTGCCCATTGTAGTTTTTCACTCCTTCGCAAGCACAACTGACAATGACTACTAAAACATGTGTTGGTGAACGCGATAAGTTATTTAGTCGCACCTATGTCGCAGTCTCTCCGTGAGAACATATGTCACGAGTTGGGTGAACGCATCCTTAATTTTATCGTGTATTTTGCGTAATTTATGAGAGTTCTGGAAGAGGACAATGAATTCTGTCAAGTGTAATTTGACAAGTCGGACAAAGAATTTAGCTACTCGACAATTTGAAGGCCCAAAAATATAGGCTTGGCATTTTAAGTGTAACCTTGCCACATCGACTAACTAAGAAGAAGTACAAGGAGACGAACAAAATTAGTTGGTCTAACTAACTTTCGTAATACTTATTTCGCTGCGAACTGTCGCTGTTTAGTGGGAGCCATCACAGAGTTTGTATGATTTATATTTAAAACATAAACGGAGAGATGTCACCGAGAACATAATCTAAAAGTGGCCAGCGTCGGTAAAAAATAAGGGGGACGGGGTCGGCAGGCTGTTGCAGAGTTAAAGCTCTTTTTCGATGGAAGTAAAGACCATTTGTTGCAAAAGTAGATGGTGGTTTTGGGTGAAGAAGGGTGTAAAGCTGTGACACTCCATCCTATCGCATTGGAAGTGAGGAGTTATGATGAGGAGAATGGTGACGATGTAGGACAATTACGGGTCTGTGCAATGCCGCTCAAAAGCTCATATCGTCACGGTTATTGTCGTATTCGGCGCCATCTAACAGCATAGTGTTGTTGGACCTTGTCTTTCGACGTTTCAGCAGTACCGACTCCTCGGAGTGGTACATGCCAGCGAATATCATCCTACTGCCGAAGGTCCGACCAAATTCATCACTCCGCGCATATACTTAACGCTTGCCAATTCGTCCTCATTCATTCACGCGTTTGCGTCTGCCACTCCGCAGGCCGAAGACCCTGCTTAAAGTTGGACTGTAAAATCCTAAAATGACCGGAAATGAGTAACCGAGTCAAAGTTTTTAGTAATTTGCCAAAGATCCTATTATCGTACACCATCCCACCTGTCCAATACACGCGCCAACCCCCGTCGTAAAGCTGTCGGATCATGTGAACTAAGTGCTCCGACATACGACTTCCCGTATTGTTTCGCATAGTACATCACTGTTCAAGGTGTCGAAGTCATTCGTCAGACGAAGGAACCTTTAGAGACTAATGTGCATTCCTCGGTACATCTCCTGACGTTGTGGGCAGAATAACCCCAGCAGCCTGTTGGGGGTGACGGAGGGACGGTGACGAGGGTTGTTGCTGATCATTGCTCTATTTCGTCCGAGGTCTTACACCTACGGCCACGGTCAGCTTGCTGATGGCGCTATTTTCCAGCACTTATTTAGGGTACATTTTCTAGTCCATTCCTGCGTGGGTGAGGGGGGGGTGAACAGAGTTGCTTAGGCATTCTGAACGGCCGCCGAATCTCACAATATGTGTCGAAATGTTCCAATGAGAGGACGATCGGAACCAACCCGGCCCCCCCACAGGATTGCATGTCGCCTTCTCCGTGGAATAATTTTGGAATTGGAGAGAGAGAGGGATGGAAAAAGGACTGTTGTTACCGGCTGTGGGTACAAACAAAACACTGATTGATCGGGCTGGTTGCCGGGGTGTGGCAGCTAGTCATGGGTGGCCACAGATGAGAGTTGGGTGCCATTTACGGGAGATGAAAAGTAATTACTACCTGCAGGAGGCTCGTGGTGCAACCTACGCGGTTTACCCCCCAAGTGGACATCCCTGCATCGAACTAAGTGAGCCCAAATGCCCTAACCACTAAGCATCAAAGCAGTTCGTGTTATTTGGGCTCGAAAATATCTACAGGGTGAGGATGACGCTCACTGATCTAGTTTTTAACCTTCCAGGCACGTGTACATCCGAGCTTTGAAGACGAAATAACAAAAGATTACTACCATTTTCATGCCTGCTTTTTCCGCTGCCTCTTTAAAAGCTTTCACTTAGTCGTGTAATTCCATCAAACTGAAATCCGCTGGGCTTAAATGGTAACAGTAAAATGC